TGCTTCAGTAGTCTAGAGTGGTTACGGGGAATGTTCCTTCCTGTGTTTAGCCGGGTGATAAGTGAACAGTCTCTGCTCAGAGTGTAGCCATCTGCGGATGATTATGCTCCAGTTCAGGCTGTTTTGCTTTGGAATATAGCAGTCTGAGGACAGCTATGTTCTAGCCAGTAGTTTATAACTGGGTTTAGTTCCCCTTGGGTACAAACTGTCTCAGGTAAGTGCTGAAGCCTTATTTGGAATCTGCTGTCTGAGGATAGCTGTGTTCCAGCTTGGAGACTGCTCCCCCTTGTGGGGTCTTTAAGTAGTGGTCTCCTTGAGCCCTTGCCTAGACTGCGCTGTCTCCCCTGTTCGGGTTTTAGGTAGATGGCCTACTTCATGGCAGGGGCGAACTTCAGCCTTATCTGAGGGAATTGCTATTTGAGGATAGCTGTGTCCAGCCACCTAGTGTTATGGCCGTTGCTTGCATCAGGCTTTGATCTGGACTATGGTTTTTATGTGTTCGCTCCTTAGCGAAACATTACTATGGTCTGGATCTTCCTATTGTGAGCCTCTGGTCAATATATTGGTGAACGAAAAGCTAGCCTACTGTGGGAATGTCACAGATTGGGGACCTCCTTAGTATAGCCACCTAATGGTGGTTATATTTAGGCCATGGTAGTTGTAGTGGTCCCCTTTCCTAGAGCCTAGCTATCTGAGGATAGCCATGTGCTAGCTCGGTGATTGCTCCCCTGCCTAGGGTTTTTAAGTAGCAGTCTCCTTAAGCCTTTACCTAGACAGTGTTGTCTCCCCTCTCTGGGTCGTAAGTAGACAGCCCACTCTCCGTGGTCTGGGTAGTTTCAGTCTGTTCCACCTCTGGTAGCCCTTCCTAGACACATAGCTATCTGAGGATATTTATGTGCTAGCTCAGTGACTGCTCCCCTTCGTAGGGTCTTAAGTAGCGGTCTCCCTGAGCCCTCACCTAGATAGCGCTATCTCCCATGCAAGGGTTGTAAGTAGATAGTTCACTCCTGTGGTCTGGGCAGCCTCATAGGATGGCTTACCACGGTTTTTCAGGCTAGCTGTGTGGGACCAGCTGCTGATAGCTCAGTGATTGCTCCCCTTTTTAGGGTTTTAAGTAGTGGTCTCCTTGAGCCCTACCTAGTCAGTGCTGTCTCCCTGCTAGGGTTGTAAGTAGACAGCCCACTCTTTGTGGTCTGGGTAGTCTCAGTTAGTCCTCTCCTGTTCTACTATTCCTAAAATCCATGTTTATGGTAAGCGCACACGCTAGCTTCTGTGCGCTTTCTAAAATCCACATTGTGGTAAGTGTGCACGCTAGGCACCCTGAGCACTGTTCTAAAACCCTGTATGGTAATGGGTTACACGCTCGACTTGGTTCCCATTCTCTGAGTTGGTTCTGTCCCCGGTTCTCCTTGGGCCCCACTCCACTTATGTTCTCTGGCAATACTTCTGAACAAGGCTTCCTCTTGTTAAGAGAGTCATTCTCAGGTGCAAGCTATCTGAGGATATCTATGTGCCAGCCCAGGGACTGCTCCCCTTCCTAGGGTTTTTAAGTAGCGGTCTCTCTGAGCCCTTGCCTAGAGTGTGCTATCTCCCCTGCTAGGGTTGTAAGTAGATAGCCCACTCTTGTGGCCTCATAGGAGGGCTTACCGGGATTTTTCAGGCTAGCTGTGTGGGACCAGCTGTGGATAGCTCATTGATTGCTCCCCTTCTAAGGGTTTTAAGTAGTGGTCTTCTTGAGCCCTACCTAGACAGTGCTGTCTCCCCTGCTAGGGTTGCAAGTAGACAGCCCACTATTTGTGGTCTGGGTAGTCTCAGTTTCCTAGGGATATAGCTATCTGTGGATAGCTATGTGACTGCTCCCCTTCCTAGGGTTTTTAAGGAGCGCTCTCCCTGAGCCCTGGCTTAGACAGTGCTATCTCCCCTGCAGGGTTTAAGTAGATAGTCGTTGCCTTGGTCTGGGCAGCTCTTCGTTAAGAGAGTCATTCTTAGGTACATGGCTATCTGAGGATATCAATGTGCTAGCTTTGGGACTGCTCCCCCTTCTTGGAGTTTTTCTCCCTGAGCCCTGGCTTTCCTGGCTTAGACAGTGCTATCTCCCCTAAGTAGATAGTCATTCCCTTGGTCTGGGCAGCTCTTTAGGAAGGTCCTTTTCATAAGACCCTTTGGCTATAGCTATCTGCAGATAGTTGTGTCCTTGCTGAGATTGTTGGTGGCAATCTTGATAACTCCTCTAGGCTTCCAGCCTCTCAGTGGTATTATGTATCTTGCTACTATTGCTCACATAGCATAGCTATCTGAGGATGGCTGTGTTCTTAGCTTGGTTAGGGTGTTCAACCTTATCTGGTATTGGGCTTCCTCATTTTACCAAGTTATGTTTGGTTTCCCCTTTCTGAGGATAGGTTTGGTGTATGTCTGTCACCTCCTTGGTGCTCTCTCACCAGGTGGACAGGCATGCACCTCGGCATGGCGTGACTGGATATCGTTCCCCAAAGTGTCCACCAGGACGCAGCGTTGAGTTCCCTAGAAGGGGAACGTCTCGGGTTACTCATGTAACTATGGTTCCCCGAGAGGGAATGAGATGCTGTGTCCCTTTGCCATGCCTTCGTCCTGCCTGTTTACGTCTCCTCAGACAACTGAGTTGGTGACGTATTCAGCAGGTGCCCCTTTTATACTTCCGGGTACCCGCTTATGACGTCACGTGCCACGTGGACCAATAGGATTGGAGTTATTTTACATATGCTTCAGGTACCGGTCACGCAGACAACGTTCCCCAAAGTGTCCACCAGGACGCAGCGTCTCGTTCCCTATCAGGGAACCATGGTTACATGAGTAACTCGAGACGATTTCCTCGCTACTCATACTTCTCGCTGTATTTTATAAAGATGACGCCCTGTGTTTCACGTTTCCCATTTTTGTTGCCACTCCTTAATGATATATGCTGTAATTATTGCTTTTTCTTCAAATTTGATGTTTATAGGTAGTAACCGAACTGAAACAAACTTTAGTTCGGGGATGATGATGCAAGACGCACAGCCAAAGTTTGTTAACTGTTGAACTGTCGAAGTTTGCCGATGATTACCGTAGATGCTGGTGAAGGAGTTTATGATACTTTGCCAGCCTGAGGCACATACTAGAAATATGCTTATGTAGTTTACTAATGTTATTAAATAATATTTTATTAAAACCTGTAAAATCCTTTCTGTAGAGAGATGTAAAATTATTGCACTATAGTTTATTGTATATGCAGATTATATTTTAAGTTGTTACACAAAATCAAGGAGTTTATAAGGTTTATCTCTCTATATACTTTAGACATGTAGAACATATCTACATTTCTGCATCAATGTATGTAATGTGTGCTGTAGGTGCAAAACTTTTAGTAATATTATTCAAGATGTAGATGATCTTATCCCCGGTAACCGATATTTGAACTGACTCCTCTCAACCTGCTGAAAATTTTAAAATCACAATGAGGTCACGCATTACTGGTGAGGATCACTGTATGAGGATCAGTGGCGGCTCCAGGATTTTTTTGTTGGGGGGGCTAAGGAGGGGCTTAACAGTTCAGAGGGGGTGCTAAAAATCTAATTAAATTGAGTGAAAATAATGAACGTATTCACAAAACATTTTATCTGTGATTGACTGATAGGGGCAGGCTCTGTCAGAGATTTATACATATAAATATTGTAGAGAACAATTTTATGTTGCCATATTCAAATAAAGGTTTAAAATTAGGGCTGTGCAATTAATATCATGCACATCTCGTCAGTAAAGCCGGGTTCATCTGCGATAATGAATGCGATATTGCCTAATTTTTCAGTGAACTATGGATCTGTGAAGTAAATGCCGCTCCATCTGAAAACAGGTGATGGAGATTTACTACTAATCACAGAACCGGCTTTTCTGATGAGATGCGCATGAAAATCGCATGCGATTAATTGCACAGCCCTATTTAAAAACACAAATTTTAATTGCCACATTCAAATAAATATTATATAAATATTATATATACAAGTATATGTTCAGCTAATTGTCAGCCTCTTACATGTATGCTTCTTGTAAACAATTAGTGAATATGCATATAAACAGCCTTTTAATTAACAGAGTAGAATAATTCTGGCTGATAGTAAGACATGCAAGCGTAAAAGAAAACCAAACTTGATGCAAGAAGAGCTGTTACTTCTTGCCCAACTGGTTAATGAAAACAAGGATATAGGCTAATCAAAGGAAAATTGTCTCAGACAAGTTCTACAACAGTCATAATACCCCTGCAATTAAGGCATATACCTTTTTAAAAGCTCATTATCGTCAAATGTTTCTAAAATGTTTATATTCAAGGCAGATTGCCGGCAACAGCCATTTTAGGAATAGGCTGTGGCTTGGTCTTAGTGACTTAGGAGTCCTCTTCACTACTCCTAACGTTACACAGATTTTGGAGCTAGTTTTAGTGCTAAAATGTTTTGTGAAATATTCTTAGAGCAAAAATTTAAGAGTCCCAAATTTAGGACCGAAACACCCATTATTTTTAAGATTTTCTCCTAAATCAGCAAGTTTGAGTTACTTTTAGCCTTAAGATGTTTTGTGAATATGGGCCCAGATCTTTTTATCTATGGATATGACATAAACATGCACAGAAAAAATTATGAAAGTACTAAATTTCCTGGGAAATAACAAAAATATTAATAATTTTTTGCTTGACATTCTAATATGGGGTTAAGCAAAACACTTTTTGGAAGATTGTTTTATGTGTTTTCTTATTATTTAAATTTGTTTAATTTTGAAGAAAAAAAGTTACATAGAGTAGGTTTAATGTTTGATGAGAGATAGTATGTTAAATGAGGTCTTACATATTCATTTCTTTGCTGCATCTTGGGTGCAATTACACTTCACGTGACCAAAGAATAAGTCATACATAATGATATGCAAGTTGAGTAACTTTATAAAACCTTGGGCGATAGAAACACCTCTTAGCTCTTTTTTTTGTAGAGCTTGATAGAACAATGATTTACATTTTTGTGTCTTTATTTCACCTTTCCAGTGCAGCTGTTACTTTAAACTGCTCCCCACAGGATGACTTTGATCTGCCAGTGTTCATGACTAGTGGAGACTTCACAATAGGAGGAATGTTTCCTTTACATTATAGAGTAGAGCTTCCTCCAACAGACTACATAAAGAGACCTTTAGCAGCACAGTGTCGAGGGTAAGGACATTTGTTATTTTCAAATAATTTGTGGGCAGTTTAATGTTTTATAAACTGTTTAATTGTTATTCCATTTGCCAGATTATAAGATGTCCAACCAATATTCTAAGCAAATTTACAAAGTTATTTTTTTGTGAATTTAAAAACAGGTTTGATCCAAGAGCTTTCCGCTGGGCTCTCTCTATGAAGCTCGCAGTGGAGGAGATAAACAACAGAAAAGACCTCCTGTCAAATCATACACTGTCTTACAGAATTTTTGACTCTTGTTCCACTCCTGTGACTGCTCAGAAAGCAATCCTGGCAGTACTGAATGGAGGGGATGTTGTTCAGAGTTCTATGTGCTCTGGGGCTGGCCCCTTATTAGGATTAATAGGGGAATCTGGATCCTCACAGTCCATTGTTCTCTCCAGAACTGTGCAACCCTTCCAAATACCCATGGTGAGTGTTTTGCATTATCTTCTTCTTCTTCTTCTTAATGAAATTTTATGGATTTTTAATTTCTGTTTTATAGATAAGCTATTTTTCAACCTGCTCTTGTCTAAGTAATCGGAAGCAGTTCCCAACATTTTTCAGAGTGGTTCCCAATGATGATTACCAGGTCAAAGCTATTGCACAACTCTTAAAAAGGTTCGGCTGGACATGGATTGGTATGGTGACTGAAGACCATGACTATGGCAGGTTTGCTTTACAAGGCTTAAAGCGGGAAATTGAAAATACTAACATTTGTCTGGCCTATCATGAAATGATCCCTAAAGACTATACCCAGGAACGAGTCCTAAAGATTCTTAAAGTAATGAAGGAATCCACAGCTAAGGTAGTTGTTGTTTTTTCAGTAGAAGGGGAATTTTATCCTTTCTTAAGAGAGTTTATGACTCAAAATATCACAGGAATTCAATGGATTGCAAGTGAGGCTTGGGTTACAGCTTCAATGTTAGCAGAAACATATCCATTCTTAGATGGCACAATTGGGTTTGCAATACGTCAAGGCCACATCCCAGGTCTTCAGAATTACCTCAAAACAGTGACCCCAGAAAGGTACCCTTCTAACCTTCAAGTTCAGGAGTTGTGGGAGGCTCTCTATGGTTGTTCTCCCTCCACAACCAGCTTGAACAGTACCATTGTATTGGATAAGCAATCTTTTTAGGCAAATGAATCAGGAAGATCTTTCTAATCAGTCAGACTTCACATGATTTATGTAGAATATATACATATTCAAATAATTCATGAATGCAGTGCTGTGCTCTTGATTATATTTAAATATTCTATACATATACATGCACACACACACATATATATATATTTGTGTGTGTGTGTGTGTGTGTATATATATATGTATATACACAGTGGTGTCCAAAATTATTACAACACTAGTATTTTCACCAGCTAAAAAATATTTTTTAAATCAGTTATTTCTAGCTTTTGCTGTAGTGTATCAGTAGGAAATATCAGTTTATATTTCAAATAATACAAATCAAATGACAGTAGTTTATCAGTAATCCTAAAAAATAACACTGCCAAACACACATGCTAAAAAACAACAACTTACTTACACATAGTAAGAAATGGTTATAAAAACTGAAACAGAAGTGAAACAAGTAATAGGAAAGAAGAGAAATAAAAAGCGATACTTATTTATATGTGTGATACTTATACTTATATATATATATATATATACACACTTTATTTTCACAGGTACCTGTCTCTGTGTGCAATAATAACTGTGCCCCAGGATTCAGGACTGCTGCCCGTCGTGGGCAACCTCTGTGCTGCTTTGACTGTGTTCCATGTGAGAGTGGCAAGATCAGTAATCAGACAGGTTTGTTTATACTGTCATTAATGTAACTTTAAATGCATTGAAGTGTTGTCATTATTATTATTATTTATTTATCTGTTTGTTTGTTTATTTTTATTTTTATAGATTCGATAGATTGTATGCCATGCCCTGAAGACTACTGGTCCAATGCAAACGGAACAGTGTGTGTCCCAAAAGTTGTGGAGTTTCTCTCCCATGATGCAATGGGCATCACCCTGACTGTGATAGCTGTTGTCGGAGCCTTTCTGACTGTCACAGTGTTGCTGATATTTTTGTACAACAGAGGAACCCCTATAGTCCGTGTGAATAACTCAGAACTCAGTTTCTTCATCCTACTGTCCTTGACTCTGTGTTTTCTATGTGCTTTGGTGTTTATTGGGGAACCTACATCCTGGTCCTGCATGCTGCGACACACTGCCTTCAGCATCACTTTCTCTCTCTGTATCTCCTGCATCCTTGGCAAGACTTTAGTGGTTTTGGCAGCTTTTACAGCTACCCGACCTGGAAACAATATAATGAAATGGTTGGGCCCCTCACAGCAGAAAATAATCATCTTCTGCTGCACTCTGGTCCAGGTGATCATATGTACTGCTTGGCTTACAATATCCCCTCCTTTCCCCTATAGAAACACTAAATATACACAGTCCAAGATCATCCTGGATTGCAGTGTGGGCTCTGATCTGGCCTTCTGGTGTGTACTGGGATATATTGGCCTTTTGGCCTGTGTCTGCTTTTTTCTTGCTTTTCTGGCACGTAAGTTGCCAGGCAATTTTAATGAGGCCAAATACATCACCTTCAGCATGCTTATATTTTGTGCAGTGTGGCTAGCATTTGTACCTGCATATGTCAGCCAACCTGGTAAATTTACAACTGCTGTGGAGATTTTTGCTATTTTAGCTTCTAGTTTTGGCCTCCTTCTCTGCTTATTTGCCCCCAAATGTTACATTATTTTACTGAAGCCTGAGAAGAACACCAAGCAACATCTCATGGGAAAAGTTATTAAATGATATATAAGGTGTTTGGGATATTGAATTAAAAAAGTATAGGAATATAGTTTAAATGAACAAAGCTCATCTAATATGATATGCTATGTTTACTCTAATGTGATATGTCCATATAGGGATATGGAGCAAAAAATGAGCCTGTATAAATTCTTATATGCTAAAACTAACATACACTGCATTACACTAAAACTAATTATTGTCTTTCTAATGAATTCAATATGTATGGCCATGGGTTGTGCTAGTGTTGTAAAAAGGAAACATATTAATAAAGCATGTTTATAAATATGAGTATTTTGAATCCTACTGATGACATATGACTGTGATGCATAATGAGATGCATTAAGACCTGTGTCTGGTATATATAACATGGTATCTTACCCACTGTAGTCATGCTAAGGGATGCAGGCATTAGAGAGCATGACAGTCCTGCTCCCATGGCTTCTGATTCATCATCTCAGTGCACTCACTCCTGGACATACTTCAAAATGTGTCCTGCAAAATGATTTTGAGCCAGGCCTTATGGCAAATGGAGATTATGTAATAGGGGGTATTTTTCCATTGCACTACAATCAGGAAATGCCAGACCTTAACTGTACTTACAAACCGGGGCCAGTCAAATGTAATGGGTGAGTAACAAAGTTTAATTAATTAATTTTATTTATTTTTAACTGCATAGAGAACATCTTGAATATAAACATCTTGAAAGTGTGTTTTGCTAGAAATATGTAAACCTGCTTGTTTAAGTTTGAATGCCCTTTATGTCCTTACTTCTGTTTTCTTCATCTGTAGATTTGATCCGAGAGCTTTCCGCTGGGCCCTTACTATGAAACTTGCTGTAGAGGAAATAAACAAGCGAGCCGATCTCCTGCCTAACTACAGTCTGGGTTACAAAATCATTGACTCATGTGCATACCCTCTGACATCGCAGAGATCAGTAGTAGCTGTTCTAAATGGGCCAAATGGGGAAAATAGTCCTATGTGTGAAGGTGCTGGTCCACTGCTTGCTATCATCGGAGAATCTGGATCAGCTGAGTCTATTGTAGTTTCAAGAATTTTGAGGCCTTTTGGGATACCAATGGTGAGTCTAAAGTTAAACTTTTTTTTAATGTAAGTGCATTATGCTGTGTGTGTGTGTCTGTATTTTTTTTTCCAGTAATGGACAGTCTTATCAGTCTAGCAGCCTTATCGACTGACAGTGAAACCTGTGCACTAAAACTTTAGAACAAAGATTAAATCATATTCTTGTTACATATTGTTCTCCTTTTTTCTTTGACAGATCAGTTATTTTTCATCCTGTGCCTGTTTAAGTGACAGGCAAGAATTCCCCACATTCTTCAGAGTCATCCCTAGTGATGCCTATCAAGTAAAGGCCATTGCAAAACTCCTGCTGCATTTTAAGTGGACCTGGGTAGGAGTGGTACGAGGAGATCACGAGTATGGTCGCTTTGCTCTTCAGGGCTTACTGAAGGAGCTGGAAGGTACAGGAATATGTGTTGCTTATCAGGAGATGATTCCTCTCTTATACGAGCGTCAAAGAGCGCTGGAAATCATTCGTGTCATGAACCATTCCACTGCTCGGGTGGTAGTGGGGTTCTCAGCTGAAGGGGAGCTCACACCCTTCTTGAGAGACTACATGGAACAGAATGTCACTGGGATACAGTGGATTGCTAGTGAGGCATGGGTTATAGCCTCTGTGTTCTCAGGAACTGAATATTACCCTTTCTTGGGAGGGACCATAGGATTTGGTATACGACAGGGCCAAATCCCTGGGTTAAGACAGTATCTCACAACAGTCAATCCAGAAAAGTACCCCTCAAATCCTCTGGTTCACGAGCTGTGGGGGACTTTATATGGCTGCTCCCCATCCAGTTTCAGCTTGAATAATCATCTGCCCTCCTGTACAGGGAAGGAGACTCTAAGGGTGCAGCACTCTGCCTATTTTAACACTTCCAGCCCCCGCATTTCCTATAATGTTTATAAAGGAGTCTATGCCATTGCTTATTCCCTGCATAATCTTATTCACTGTACACCTGGAAAAGGGCCATTTAGTAACTCCACATGTGCAAACTTGCGCAGTGTCTACCCATGGCAGGTACTCAAAATAAGGAGTGCTTAAATGTTTAATGCTAAAGTAACTGTGTACCAGGTTATGACTTGAACCATTGTAAACAAACTGTCTTGTTTTTATCTCTTCAACGCAATATTTCACAGTTACAGCAGTATCTCCAAGAGGTGTCATTCACTATTTCAGGAGAGACAGTGAAGTTTGACATGAAAGGCGATTCTATTCTATCTTATGACCTTATAAACTGGCAGAGGGGCTCAGCTGGAAATATTGAGTTTGTTAATGTGGGCATGTTTGACGGTGCACAAGAATCTGGCCAAGAACTGGTCATCCAGGAGAAGGCTATCATTTGGCCCGGCCATCAGACTGAGGCAAGCTGTTCTCACAGTGTATTTCAGTGCATGAGATTCCATGTTCTGAAGTTCTGTAGGGTCAAATGGAGGTAAGTGTCTTAAATAAAGAATTGCTCATCTGAAGATGGCAGTTCTATCTATGGAAAGGAAATGCAAACGGCTATAGTAATCCTTGTTTTTCAGTCTGTCAAAGTATGTCACATGCTCATTAATTCATTCTGGTTAGCTTAATATCTAGTTTGTTTCTTGTCAAGTAATTATTTCTGATTTTGACATGAAATACACACTAATATACATTTCTAATTTATGTGTATCTGTTGGCTAAGCAGGTGCTGGTGTCTGTGTGCAGCAACAGCTGTGCTCCAGGATTCAGGAAAGCTGTCCAGCGTGGCCAGCCTTTGTGCTGCTTTGACTGTGTACCATGTGACACTGGCAAAATCAGTAATAAGACAGGTTGGAGAACAAGTTCAATAATGCAGCAATAAATCTCACGAAAAAATTGATCTTCATCCTAATTTTTATAGTATTTCCCTCTCTTTAGATTCAGTAGAATGTATGGCCTGTTCTGAAGATTACTGGTCAAATGCTGAAGGAACAGTGTGCATTCCAAAAGTGGTCGAATTCCTGTCCCATGATGCAATGGGATTGACCCTAGCAGTAATAGCTTTAGTTGGGGTGTGCCTAACTTTAGCTGTGTTTGCTGTATTTCTCTATTACAGAAACACTCCTGTAGTACGCATAAATAACTCTGAACTCAGTTTTTTCATTTTGTTATCGCTGACTCTATGTTTTCTATGTGCTTTGGCAGTAGGAGTCAAATGTCATACTCTCCTCATTTTAACTTAACACTTATGATGTTTGGAGTTCCATTCAGTCCCAACACATTTACAATTTACAGAGTGATTGTATAAAAGAAGAAAAAATAAAATAAATATTGACATTTCCTACTGACACACTACAGCAATATATATAAATAACTGAGTTAAAACCATTTTTTAGCTGGTGAAAATACTAGTGTTCTAATAATTTTGCCATGTTTATTTATCTATTTATTTTGTTCTTTGATATTATTTTCTTTGATATTATTTGAAATAATGCCACATAATTTGCAAAAATATAACTACAATGTCAGAGTGTATTCACAAATTATTTATTTCAATAAACCAAATGCAAATTATTTAATCAATTAATACAAAATTAACTTCATATTTATATTTTAATCACTACAATTAGAAGAAATTAAATTAAGGGAACCGTGTTTTTCAACAAAGGAAACATTAAACAAGGAACCCAAACAGGGTTAATTTCTTATTGCTACCATTCATACAAATGAGACATTATACAATTAGTTATCACACAATGGTTCAGCAGTGTGTGCTAGTGTATTAATTTACTGGACACTACAATTCCTGCTAAATGTTTTGAGAGACCATAAGGTACAACACAGGCCAAACTCAATTCTACATCTCTCCTGGGACAGTATGTCCATGCTCTTTATAAGTAATAATAATAATAATGAGGACAAAAATGTCAGGGTGCAGAATATGACCTATTTGTCAGAGTAAAATAATAGTGTAAACTTGTAAAAAGTAGTACAGTGACAGAAAGAAATATAAAAATGCATTTTAAATGTAACATTTCTCCACGGATTGACAGGGGGTGGAGGGACTTTGAAAAAAGCACGTTTTTTTTTTTTTTTTAGTTTTAACCTTATGATATATTGTAATTATAACTGAGTGTTAAAATATATTAACCACACCCTCTTATGTTTTTTTTCCCCTTGCAAATTCATTGTCACAGAAAACAATAGTGGCTATTTAAACATGGTGAAATGCTCACCTGATAGTTGGGGAGTTCGCTGTTCTAGCAGGAGACATGCATGTTTCACTCATAACAGTACTTTGCATTGCCAGGCTTTGTCCCACTGTGTGTGGAGTTAATTTTGGTACCTGCATCCTGCAAGGCAACCCTCAGGCCCCTGCACTCTTCAAGAACGGAGACTTGGTTATTGGGGGGGGTTTCTCCATTCATGACTATCTGAGGACAGAGAAGCACACTTACACTAGACAGCCACAACCACTACCCACATAGATTGGTTCGGCCCAGTGATGGGCCACACAACCCACTTTCACTTGGCCCATATTCAGCAATGAATTACAGTACATGACTGGACCAGGTCTGGTTGCCAGAACTCGGGCCACATATGGCCCATGGCATTGCCATATCTCAGCCAAATGTATGACTATAGCTGGCCCTATTCTGGTCCTATTTAGGACCAAACAATTGGTTCCACATGTCAGCCTCAATAAAACCTTGATCTAGCCACATTATACACACCCTTGGGCCAGATGAAAAATGCCTGAACAACAACAGTATTCTGAAAAAATATTTATTGTTTCACATTTAAACAAAACAATTAACAAAAAACAAACACAAACAAAAAACAATGATTGAATGTCAATGTCATGTTTCACACAGCTCTTGGACATCTATGTTTCAGTTCATGAACAAGCGGCACTGTGCACACAACATTTTAACTTCTGATTCAGTTCATGAACAAGCGGCACTGTGCACACAACATTTTA